TATTTATTTATTTTTACAGTTTTTTTTTTTTTTTACAGTTTTTCATAACAAAATATTTATTTACTCAATTTTAAAAATATATATTATACACAACTATACATGCAATTTTACAGCAGCTATTCTCCAGCCGTGCCTCAGTTCAAAGTCTGCTCATAAACATCACCCGAAGCACAACGCTGTTTAACAACCCGGTTACTCATTCACCCATTTCTACATGACCTAAAAATATAAAAGCTCCAGGAAACTTCATGCGTTTCATGCATACCCCTACGTGCAAAGTTATTTCAAAGAGTTCTGAAGAACTGTGGTCACTCTGGTCTTCTTCACTCGGCCTTAATGTAAAATATAGGACGTTCCCTCCTGAGGAGTTTAATATATCATATCATTTGACACGTAGCTTTTCCTGTGAGACCTTCTTTCTTTCCCAAATGTGCCAGAAAGAAAAATAGCCGATGAACCTGTCTGCAGGAACGACGGGAACAAAAGCCACTGCATCATTAACTCATGCTGCGCTGAGTCTCACGGGTCGAGTTACTAGATTCTGCATGCAATGGATATCGCTGTTAACCCTTACCGCGCTCAAATGAACTCAAATAAAGATGAATTATAAAACAAACATGCATGCATGTTGTAAAGCAGTCTAATTCACACACGCGTTCTGATCTCTGCGCAGCCCAAGCCGACGAAGGGCCGCATGCGGATCCACTGTCTGGAGAACGTGGACAAGGCCCTGCAGTTCCTCAAGGAGCAGCGCGTGCATCTGGAGAACATGGGGTCACATGATATCGTGGACGGAAACCACCGACTCACGCTCGGACTCATCTGGACCATCATCCTCCGCTTCCAGGTACACTGCATCATCAGCATGTGAGGGACATTCATCCTAAAATTGAAAAGTCAGCTGCATATTTTCATGTATAAAGACCCAGTTTATACTGTGAAAAAATTAATATTGTAAACACGCATAAAATATTATTTGGATTTTTTTTTTTTTACTTTACAACACCTTTTTCCCTCCACTAAAAAGTTTATATGCACCCATATGACAACAAATGGATGCAACATGTCTAATATATATATATATATTATTATTATAATTTTTTTTTTTTAATCAAATTTGTATTAATTACTTTTTTATATAGAAAATAACACTCACTATAGTACTGTACTGTTAAATTATTATTTATATATGTATTTATTTAAACTCTTTTTTTATTTAATTATTTTTTATAACATTTTTATTATATTTATTTTTAATGCAAATAAATGAGAAAATATTTAGTTTCTATTACTTTACAACACTTTTTTTCCTTGCTATAATGCCATATATATATATATATATAATTTTTGGTCAGATTTTTTATTTAGTTTCATTTAGAAAATATTTTGTTTCTCTTACTTTACTTTTTTTTTTTTTTCCTTCTCGCTATTGTACTGTATACTTTTAGATTTTATATTTATATATGTGTTTATTTAAATAAATACATTTTTATAATTAATTTTAATCAAAATTGTTTATTTATTTTAACAATTTTTATCCCCTTATTATTTTTTTACATGAAAAATATTTAGTTTCTATTACTTTTCCCTACTCACTCTAGTACTGTACTGATAGATGTATTATTTATATTTATATATTTATTTAACCCAAATTTGACTATTAATTAGATTACATTTTTAAACTTATTTTAAACAATTCTTAAATATTTTTTTTCTGTTGTTGTTGTTATTGTTGTTGCTTGAAAACCCCTGCCCTAATAGCATCACGTAACATCACATAGCATCACATTTTCATGACGTTACGGCCAAAGAAATGCACAAATAATGCACAAAAAAATCCATTATGTTGTGTTATCGTGTGTGTAACAGATTCAAGACATCAGCGTTGAGACAGAAGACAATAAAGAGAAACGCTCAGCCAAGGACGCGCTGCTTCTGTGGTGCCAGATGAAGACCGCAGGGTGGGTAGATGTCCAGAATAAAGACACACACGTGCTCGAGTCCTTGATGTCTGACAGCTCTGCTTTGTGCTTCACAGCTATCCCAACGTCAACATCCACAACTTCACCACCAGCTGGCGTGATGGAATGGCTTTCAACGCCCTCATTCACAAACACAGGTACTGATTTCTGTCCACCTGCATCAATGCATTTCTTTCTCGCAAACTTAATATGCTTCATTCTCAATGCATTCCAGGCCAGACCTGATTGATTTCGACAAACTGAAGAAGTCCAACGCTCACCACAACCTGCAGAACGCCTTCAACCTGGCGGAGCAGCACCTGGGGCTCACCAAACTCCTGGACCCAGAAGGTAAGAGCCCACCCTGCTTCTACATCTCCGGACCTCATCAGGAAATAATACACAATAACACGCTGTCTTTTTCGCAGATATCAGCGTAGACCATCCCGACGAGAAGTCTGTCATCACTTATGTCGTCACATACTACCATTATTTCTCCAAGATGAAGGCGCTGAAGGTGGAGGGCAAGCGTATCGGAAAGGTCTGAGTCTTCAAAACACCTGGGCTACTAGAATGTTCTCTGTTTTCTATGAAAGAAAGATTATTTCACTCTTATGTGTGCTATTTATTTATCGGTTTTGTAAGAAATGTAAGTTTAAATGCAAGTTCAAATGTTGCTATTAAAATAAAATAAATCATTATTAAATAAAACATTAAATTAATAAAAACAATGTAATTAATTATTCTTATTTTTAAACATTTGTAATCAAATTTTTATTTATTTTCATTTAGAATTTTTTTGTTTCTATTTGCATTTTCTATTACAACACTTTTTTCTACTCTCTATAGTACTGTACTGTTAGATGAATAATTTATTTATATATGTATTTAAATATTTTTTATTATTAATTTTAATATTTATATAATATTAAAATATATTTAATTTCATATTTAATATTAGTCTTAGTAATGGTGCCATCTTAATATTTACATAAATTCAATTGGTCTTCTGTCTTACATCTGTTTATTGACTTGTAATTTCAGTCTTATGTGTGCTATTTATTTTGTTATTTAGCCGTTTTTAATATTATAATATTAAATATTTTTTTAGATATATTTTTTATATTTTAATAAATATTAATATTTATTTATTAATTTTGTTATGTAGCTTTTTTAAAATATTATAATATTAAATAACTAATATATATGTATCTTTTAATAAATATTAATATTTATTTTTTTATTTTGTTATTTAGCCTTTTTTAATATTATAATATTAAATATTTGTGATATATATATTTGTAATATTTTATTAAATATTAATATTTATTTATCAGTTTAGTAAGAAATGTAAGTTTAAATATCTGGATTGAAATAAATAAATAATTTTAAATAAAATTTTGAATAACTAAATTAATTCCTATTTGAGATGTAACCATTAGAAATTATATTTAATATTTAAATTAAAATATTTAAATATTTACATACTGCAATTGCAAATCTTAGGATCTTAAATCTGTTTTATTGACTGATTATTTTAGTCTTTTTATTTATTTTTATTTTAATAGGAAGACATTATTTAATCAAATATTTATTTTATTTATTTAAATATTCCTATTAAAATAAATAAATAAAAATAAAATATTTTTTTAAATAAATATATTCATTATTAATAAGTTAATTAACTAAGTTAGTCTTACATCTGTTTACATTCTGAACTGTAATAGGTTTAGTCTCCGTTGCATATTTCTAACCATTTATAGCCACATGGTACCATGTTATGTGGTGATTTTTGTGCGCATTAAACGGAAAATGCAGTAAAATATCGGTAAATGACTCTGATGTGACATTTAACACAGAATTGACGTCTAAAACCACAGCTTACCTAAAGCTTTAACTTTAACTGCTGTTCAACTTTTCTTTCCTTTATGAAACGCAGATCTGACATTAACATCTGTCTGTCTTCACCAGGTGCTCGACAACGCCATTGAGACGGAGAAGATGATCGAGAAATATGAATCTCTGGCGTCTGATCTGCTGGAGTGGATTGAACAAACCATCATCATCCTCAACAATCGCAAGTTTGCAAACTCTCTGGTTGGAGTCCAGCAGCAGCTGCAGGCCTTCAACACTTACAGGACCGTGGAGAAACCACCCAAGTGAGTGTCTGCCGGAAACAAACACATTATATGTGACCCTGGAGCACAAAAGCAGTGTTAAGTCGCTGGGGGATATTTGTAGCAATAGCCAACAATACATTGCATGGGTCACAATTATAGATTTTTCTTTTATGCCAAAAATCATTAGGATATTAAGTAAAGATCATGTTCCTTGAAGATATTTTGTAAATATCCTACCGTAAGTATATCAAAACTTCATTTTTGATTAGTAATATGCATTGCTAAGAACTTCATTTGGACAACTTTAAAGATGATTTTCTCAATATTTTGATTTTTTTTTGCACCCTCAGATTCCAGATTTTCAAATATTCCAACTATTGTGCTATCCTAACAAACCATTCACCAATGGACAGCTTATTTATTCAGCTTTCAGATGATGCATACATCTCAATTTTTAAAAAATTTACCCTTATGACTGGTTTTGTGCTCCACGGTCACATATTAGAACTCAAATGAATGAATGTCATTTTCAACGCTTTCTTCACAGATTCACTGAGAAAGGCAACCTGGAAGTGCTTCTGTTCACCATCCAGAGCAAGATGAGGGCCAATAACCAGAAAGTGTACATGCCACGAGAGGGCAAGCTCATCTCAGACATCAACAAGGTGAAAATTACCTCGTTTTCACTATGTTTGATTTTCATTTTGGAGCTGCACGTTGTTTTTTCGGTCCGAGTTGCTTTGAACTGGCTAGGATTCATTATTTATCCACTTACAAATAAGTACCATGGTACTTTGCTTACTTTGGTGCATTCTGTGAGGGCAAGATTGGGTTAGATTCTGTATTTTAGATTGAAATGCATCAGTTTTTTCCCGTCATTATTTCGTTTCCTCAGTAAAATCTCTTGAAATCCGAATGGTGACTGTGATGTGCTGAAGCTGTGGTGTTGTCGCAGGCGTGGGAGCGTCTGGAGAAGGCGGAGCACGAGCGTGAGCTGGCGTTGAGGACCGAGCTGATTCGACAGGAGAAGCTGGAGCAGCTCGCCAGACGCTTCGACCGCAAGGCTGCCATGAGAGAGACCTGGCTGAGCGAGAACCAGCGCCTCGTTTCCCAGGTTCACTTCACTGCGCTTGCTGTAGAAACAAACACACATGTGCTTCGTCCAGCACTGCGTTGTGTAATACATCTCAGCCGTGATTTTATGCAATTTTGTGACCCCTGGTGGTGAAAGATTCAAAATTGTCAAGAGACAAAACACAGTTGCTTGTGCACTATTTAAAATTTTATATTTTATACATTCACAATTCACTTATAATATATTTAAAAAATAGTTTATATTTTCAAATTTGTTATGAATGATGGTTTTATTACTTTTTTTAAATGCTTATTATTTATATTTATATACTTACTATATTTTTATGAAAGCAAAGGCTCTAAATAATTATTTTTCATAAATATGCCACAAAATAAATATTTAAATATATATATATATATTTTTTGAAACCGTTATATATATATATATATATATATATATATATATATATATTATGAATTATATTATTTATATATTATTATATGAAAACAAAAACTCAACAATGAGCATTTTTCATAATTTTGCCACAAAAAAATCTCTGCTTCCACTAAACATACATCCAAACAATAATTGTACAATATTGTTATGAAAGATATTTATTTATGATATATTTTAAAAAGCATATTTTATTTATATTTTATTATTTATCATTCATTTTTATGTTATTTCTTTCTTGAATGTATATTTTTATTATTTATATAATTTTATTATGAAAACAAAATGAGCATTTTTCATAATTTTGCCACAAAAGTATCTGCTTTCACTAAACATACCGGAACCAAAAAATTATTGTACAATATCTCTGAACTATGTTATAAAAGATTTTGAGTTAGTACACAGTTTTTATAAACATTGACAGAACTGGGTGTTCCCATCCATTTTAATACATATACTTTATATTTATATACTTTTTCCCCATACATAAAAAAACTAGTACTGTCAAACGATTAATCGAGATTAATCGCATCCAAAATAAAAGTTTTTGTTTATATAATGTATGTGTGAATACTGTGTATATGTATTATGTATATATAAACTCACACTGTCAGGGTTCTGGACTGTCTGTGTGTGTTTTACTCCCCGTGACCCAGTTTCTCCTTGTGTTGATTGTGTTAATTTGATTGATTCCATGCACCTGTGTTCCCCTGATTGCCCTGTGTTTATTAGCCCCAGTCTGTGTAGTCTTCCTTTGTCGGTTCTACTTGTTGGATGTTGTGAAAGTCACCTGTCATTCCCAGGATTAAAGACTGTTTATGTACTCCACGTCTCCTTGCTCCTCGTTCCGCGCTCCTCCTAGCACAGATCGTGACAGAAGAACCGAACAAAAAACAGTAACCTCCGTGTGTCTACCCTCCGTTTTTGTTTCCGTGTTTTTTCCCTCAGTGTTTTGTTTCCGTTGTGTTCTATGGATCCCCTCCTTCGCCCCGAATTCTTCCTCCTCCTGCTGGAGCAGGGGGAGCGCTCGTTTGAGGACCATACCAGACTGTTTCTGGCCTTCGCTCGAAATTACCAGCTACCCGGACGACGTGCTCTGTGCGTTCTATGACACTAGCCTGAACACTGCGTGCAGAGCGCCGTCGTCCGAAGATGGTCCTCGAGTGGAATTCGTCGCCTTTGTGGAGTGGACTCTGCCGAGAAATGGATCTTCGTCCCCCGACTGTTCCCAGGAGAATCTCACCAGTTCCACTCCCGACCCAGTTCCCAGCCCACCATCTCCCCAATGCGCGGGTCGCATGCCCGAGCCCACTGCTGACGGAGAGCCGGAGCCCGCCGCGACTGATGAGCCATCGCCGTATGGAGCGACAGAGCTGAAGATCGCCGCGGAGCCAGAGCTGCTGACGACGTCAGTCAAGGTTTGTGAGCTGGCAACAACGCCCGCCACGAGGGAGAGAGACGCAGACGGTGTGAGCACGGAGATGAGCTCCGCCCCCTGCACCGCGGCTGAGGGTGAGCTGAGTATGGCACAGCGTATGTGCCAAAATGAAGAGGAGAGGGCTCCAGCCCCCGAATCCAGTTCAGAGCACCCTCTAGTGCCCGCTCCTAGAAAGCATCCTCCAGTGCCGCTTTTAGAAAGCGCCCTCCAGTGCCTGCTCCTAGAAAGCTCCCCTCAAGTGTCCGCTCCTCCAGAGTGCAATCCTGTTCCCGGGTTCAGCCTAGTGGGGGCTCCCGATCCAGAGTTTAGCCCCGAATGCCTGGAGGCTCACGAATGCCCGCCCTCCCACCCGCTTCTGCCTCCTTCTCCGCTGTCGTCTGGCAGCTAGGGTTGGGTATCGTTTGGGTTTTTTTCGATACCGGTGCCAAATCGATACTTTTAAAATGGTTCCGGTGCCTGAACCGATACTTATTAAAGAATAGAGAATGCTAGTGTTAGCGGCTCTTTTTTCTTTATAAATAAAACAAGTAGTTAGAATAGAAATAGAATAGAGAGTGCAAATGTTAGAGGATCACGTTTTTTAATTAAAAAAAACAAGCAGATAAAATTAGAAGTAGCGTTAGAATAGAGAGTGCATTCCACCAGGAGGGAACAGTTAATGAAGAAGTCCATGAAAGTTTTATTATAGGTAGAATGCAAAATGTTTCAATACAAGCATTTCAGTCAAATGTAATTTATGCAATATTTCAAACCTTTAACCCACTTGGGAAAATCAACCCATGGAACAGTTTAAAAGTAGCCCAATTCTGTGGAAAAAAAAACGCGGACTGGGCAACCCTGCATCCAACAAGAGCTACCGGAGTCAGCTTTGACTGATCACAGGTCGAGAATAAGGAGAGATGACTGACAAGATCATGCTTGAGTATTTGCTGCTCAACAGATCCTGAGCTCATTGACAAAAATCTGATCTTGTAAGATGTGCTCCCTTTACACAGAGTGCGTGTGATCGCAAAATCGAAAGTGAAAGTAAACAGTGCAAACGCTCATTCAAAAACATTTAAATACACAGCATCCTGAGAGCAGCTCCCTGATGCACCACAATTATATACAATATTAGAATGTTTAAAGGAGTGGACACGAAAATCACGGGAGCGAAACACATGTTGCGGGAGCAGGCGGCAATGGTCAGAGATTCAGCGGGAGTGAGATTAAAAAAACAGCTGAATCCCGGACATTGTGGGCAATTAAGAAATCCCGGCTGGACGCATTTTTGTAGGTCCAAAAAGAGGACACGTATGGTCACCCGAATTTATAATATATTGCTAAACGATGTATTCTTTTTAAAGTAGCATATGGAACATATTTTCTGCCTCATTCTGAGACAAGAAGCCTCATCAGATCACAAAAGGAAGCATTTGACAGGTGTTGTGGAGTAAAAAGGTTATAATGTTCTCTTTTGTTGGACAACAGGTTTAGAAATGTGAATACAAGGGAGGTTTAGCTTTAGGCATTTTAATTTAAGCATGTTTAGCTTAGTTAACAGAAGGTTACCTGCTGCCATCAGAGCAAGTGTAATTACTGCATTCACGCACTCCTCGGATATTCTCATTTCCCGAGTTGTGCTTTTAAGTCGGAATGTGAAAACAACATGGACACTCGTTACTACAAAGATGTGTTGGATTTGTATTAAAGTCCGGCTCACACTGTGCGATTTTGGCCACGATTTGGTCGTCTGAGACAAATTTTGAAAATCCTAAAAGATTCCTATAATCCTAGGCTAAAATCTGTACTCTTTGATCGCTGGTTTGACATGTTCACCGACAGCCGATTAATGGCCCTTGCAATCAGATTTTACCTCCGACGAACTTCTAGCAGTGTCAGAAGATTTGGCGCAGAGTCCTGCAGTGTGGCTTCTACGACAAATGTCAAACTGTCGTTTTTCAAGACAAGCCATGATCAGAATTAATGCTATAGATTTCTTATAAGCACTCTCGTCCTCCGCTCACTGAATTAATATGATACGTTGCCTTTGCTATGATAAACACCAGTTGCGCCGCTGTTTTCATGTGGGTGTGTAGTGCCGGTATTGCCGCCATTCATATACTTTTAATGATAGCCAACATTACAGCCCCGCGTGCAATGCAGCTCGCAGTCACTGAACGTGTATGGGTTGAGAAGGTAAAACTCCGGACAAGTTTCCTTGTTTTTAACGCGTCTTGACTGTCGTACAGTCTGACATTAATGACAGCTGAGATCCCACAGTGTGACATGATCATCATGCTCGGACAGTCTGACAAGTACAATCCTAAAGGACTTTTAAAAAATCGTACAGTGTGAGCCCGGCTTTATTAGAGCTTTCCGACTTGAGTTCACATGCATTTTCTCAGTCGGGAAATTATTTGTCCCATGCGGTGCCAGTGATGATGCTTCTTACGTCCGTTTTGGAGAACTGGAGGAAATATTTCAATCAATCGCTCAGGCATGGCACTGAAATGAGGCACCGAAATCTGTGTTCTGATTCGGTTCTAGTACATACCGGTTACATAGGTACCGGTTACATATTGGTACCGGGTTTCGGTACCCAACCCTACTGGCAGCCCCTCTGCTCGCCCTCAGCCCACCATCTATGCGGTGCGAGCTCCGTGGGACTGCCATCCTCGAGCGTTGCCGTGGCTGGAGTTTCCCTTGACTCCACCTCCAGCCTCTAAGCCCTAGACTCCGCCTCGCCCCGTTGACCTGTCGGCTCCACCATGGCTCCTAGCTCCCTCCTCCACCGTGGCCCGGCAGTCCACTAGCTCCGCCGGGCTCCCTCGTACCTCCAGCTCCGCCTTGGTCTGGCGTCGACCATCCTACGCCTCGGGACTCCACTCCTCTGGCTTCACCTCGTCCCTCCGTCTCCGTCAGGCTCCTTCATCCTCTCGGCTCCTCCTCAGTCCTCGGTCGCTCCGGCTCCACCGCAGCCTCCTGGATCCACATCTTCGCCTCGGTCACCGGCGCCATCTGCTCCACCTAGGACCTCCGGATCCTCCCCGTCGCCCTGGCTTACCGGTTCTCCATCTCCGACTCGGGCTCCTCCACCATCTGGTCCGCCGCCGTTGGTCAGCCCCCTGGAGTCAGTGGCCATTCCTCCTCCATGGCTCCTCCCTCTGTCGGCTCCACCGTGGGCCATCATTATGGCTGTAGCCTGGGTTCAGCTGGACTCCTCCTGCTCCAAGCCCCTCCTGTCTCCTCCCTGGACTCTGTCTGCCGGCCTCCTCCCGGGTGTCTGTCCTCCTCCGGAACCTCCTCCTTAGTTCCCACCCACCCCCTGTTGTTCTACGGTGGACGAGGATGCACCTTCCCGGGAGCGGGGCGAATTGTCAGGGTTCTGGACTGTCTGTGTGTGTTTTTCTCCCCGTGACCCAGTTTCTCCTTGTGTTAATTGTGTTAATTTGATTGATTCCATGCACCTGTGTTTCCCTGATTGCCCTGTGTTTATTAGCCCCAGTCTGTGTAGTCTTCCTTTGTCGGTTCTGCTTGTTGGATGTTGTGTAATTCCCCTGTCCTTCCCAGGATTAAAGACTGTTTATGTACTCCACGTCTCCTTGTTCCTCGTTCCGCGCTCCTCATGACACACACATTTAAAAAAGAATTTATGTTTATATCGTAAATATATTTATATATAATGTCAATTATATAAATATATACATGTGCACAGTATACACGCATATATTATGCAAACAAAAACTTTTATTTTGGAAGCGATTAATCGTTTGACAGCACTAAAAAAAAAAACAGAAACAACTGAAAAAAATCCCATAACAATCTTATGGGTTGAGAAGGTAAAACTCCGGACAAGTTTCCTTGTTTTTAACGCGTCTTGACTGTCGTACAGTCTGACATTAATGACAGCTGAGATCCCACAGTGTGACATGATCATCATGCTCGGACAGTCTGACAAGTACAATCCTAAAGGACTTTTAAAAAATCGTACAGTGTGAGCCCGGCTTTATTAGAGCTTTCCGACTTGAGTTCACATGCATTTTCTCAGTCGGGAAATTATTTGTCCCATGCGGTGCCAGTGATGATGCTTCTTACGTCCGTTTTGGAGAACTGGAGGAAATATTTCAATCAATCGCTCAGGCATGGCACTGAAATGAGGCACCGAAATCTGTGTTCTGATTCGGTTCTAGTACATACCGGTTACATAGGTACCGGTTACATATTGGTACCGGGTTTCGGTACCCAACCCTACTGGCAGCCCCTCTGCTCGCCCTCAGCCCACCATCTATGCGGTGCGAGCTCCGTGGGACTGCCATCCTCGAGCGTTGCCGTGGCTGGAGTTTCCCTTGACTCCACCTCCAGCCTCTAAGCCCTAGACTCCGCCTCGCCCCGTTGACCTGTCGGCTCCACCATGGCTCCTAGCTCCCTCCTCCACCGTGGCCCGGCAGTCCACTAGCTCCGCCGGGCTCCCTCGTACCTCCAGCTCCGCCTTGGTCTGGCGTCGACCATCCTACGCCTCGGGACTCCACTCCTCTGGCTTCACCTCGTCCCTCCGTCTCCGTCAGGCTCCTTCATCCTCTCGGCTCCTCCTCAGTCCTCGGTCGCTCCGGCTCCACCGCAGCCTCCTGGATCCACATCTTCGCCTCGGTCACCGGCGCCATCTGCTCCACCTAGGACCTCCGGATCCTCCCCGTCGCCCTGGCTTACCGGTTCTCCATCTCCGACTCGGGCTCCTCCACCATCTGGTCCGCCGCCGTTGGTCAGCCCCCTGGAGTCAGTGGCCATTCCTCCTCCATGGCTCCTCCCTCTGTCGGCTCCACCGTGGGCCATCATTATGGCTGTAGCCTGGGTTCAGCTGGACTCCTCCTGCTCCAAGCCCCTCCTGTCTCCTCCCTGGACTCTGTCTGCCGGCCTCCTCCCGGGTGTCTGTCCTCCTCCGGAACCTCCTCCTTAGTTCCCACCCACCCCCTGTTGTTCTACGGTGGACGAGGATGCACCTTCCCGGGAGCGGGGCGAATTGTCAGGGTTCTGGACTGTCTGTGTGTGTTTTTCTCCCCGTGACCCAGTTTCTCCTTGTGTTAATTGTGTTAATTTGATTGATTCCATGCACCTGTGTTTCCCTGATTGCCCTGTGTTTATTAGCCCCAGTCTGTGTAGTCTTCCTTTGTCGGTTCTGCTTGTTGGATGTTGTGTAATTCCCCTGTCCTTCCCAGGATTAAAGACTGTTTATGTACTCCACGTCTCCTTGTTCCTCGTTCCGCGCTCCTCATGACACACACATTTAAAAAAGAATTTATGTTTATATCGTAAATATATTTATATATAATGTCAATTATATAAATATATACATGTGCACAGTATACACGCATATATTATGCAAACAAAAACTTTTATTTTGGAAGCGATTAATCGTTTGACAGCACTAAAAAAAAAAACAGAAACAACTGAAAAAAATCCCATAACAATCTTAAAAGAAAGAAAAAAATATATATATTTTTAATATTAATGTTTTTGTACTTAAAAATAAATAAATAAATAATAATAATAAAATTATTTGCCATCTCTGAAAATCTAAAAAAAAAAAAAAAACTAAAAGCAAAAACAAATGTGCAATAATGAATCGCAAGTTGTAGCAGGCTAAAACTAGTAAAACAATAATTTATTTCCCATACTTATTTTCTTAACTTTCCCATTTCTTTTCTGCAGGACAATTTCGGATTCGACCTCCAGGCGGTCGAGGCAGCTACCAAAAAACATGAAGCCATCGAGACGGACATCGCGGCGTACGAGGAGCGCGTGCAGGCGGTGGTGGCCGTGGCCAGAGAGCTGGAGACGGAGAACTACCACGACATCAAGCGCATCGCCGCGCGCAAAGACAACGTGCTGCGTCTGTGGGAGTATCTGCTGGAGCTGCTCAAAGCGCGCAGACAGCGGCTGGAGATGAACCTCGGCCTGCAGCGCGTCTTCCAGGAGATGCTCTACATCATGGACTGGATGGACGAGATGAAGGTGAGCGAGGAAGACGAGGAGTGGGAGTTTGGATGGGTTAGAAGTGAGATACAGTGTAGCGCTCAGTGAGATGAACATTAAAAATAGATTCTAGCAATAGAAGTAGGTAAAAATTGTTCAGCTAAACTTTTAATAGATAGTAATAATTGGATCATATTTGAAGATATTATGATTATTTGCTTTAAGATTATGGTACAAAAGATTGACTTTACGCTTTATATGTTTGGGGTTCTATAGACGCAGTTCTGTATTTGCAATAAAAATCATAATTTTGAAATTAATGTATTATTTTCCATCAATATATTTTTAAATTTTTATAATAGGTTACTCTGACCTATTAAAATCTTAATGCTTTTGCCAGTTTTATTTTTTGTAAATATTTCAGCTTCCTATTTAGGTTTAATTTACTTTCATTTCAGTTTTAGTCATTTTAGTGCTTCAACTTATTTGATTTCAGTTAGTTGTTATTTCAGTAAAGGCAGCATTTTTAATTTTCGATTTTTTTTTCTGTTTCAGGCTTATTTCAGTTAACAAAAACAACTTTTAATAGTTTTAGTTTCAGTTTGAGGTTTAGTTAACAATAAAAGCACTGCCTGACATACACATGGAATCATCAGGGTTATTATAATTAACTAAAACTAAAACCATAAAACGGTTTTTGTTACTTGAAATAAAATACTTTACCTGAAAAAAAAATTATTAAAAACAAACCTTAAACTTATTTTATTTCTGCTAAGCTGCCAAGACCTCATTTCTCATTTTTATTTAGTCTATTTTGACGCGCTAAAATAACTAAAACTAAAACTGAAATAAAAATGGAAAGAAATGACAAAAACACAAAACTGTAAAATTTTAATTAAAATAAAATAAATATAAAACTTAAATATAAACTATATAAAAATAAAAACATTCAAAATATTAAAAACTATAGTAGTATCTCAATGATACTAAAATAACACTGACACCAACAAACTATAAATTTTTATAACTTGCTCCTTTGACCTATTAAAATCCCGTATTATTGAATTTTTAACCTATGTTATTGCATATTTCATAATGCTTTGAACATAACATGGCAAAACTTTTTAATTTGACATTTATTCATTAAGCAGATGCTTTTATCCAAAGCGACTTACAAATGAGGAACATCACAAGCAATGTATGATTAGAGCCAAGCTTCAGTGCAAGCTAGATTCCTGCATTAGCTTCAAAGCCAAGTGAATGCTGATCTAAATGATGTGGTTGTGAGTTTCTCCTGTCCTCCACAGATGCTGCTGCTGTCTCAGGATTACGGGAAGCATTTGCTGGGAGTGGAGGATCTGCTGCAGAAGCATGCTCTGGTGGAGGCCGACATCGGCATACAGGCCGACCGCGTCAAAGCCGTCAACGCCAACGCACAGAAGCTTGCCGTGGATGAGGAGGGTAAGAAGAGCTCTCCTCTGTTCACCGCTTTTCACATCCTTACTCTTCATTTCATCAGAAACTGACTTTAGTCTGACAATCAGAAGTCATTTCTGGATAATATTCATAGCAAAGAATCCGTTCTTTCAGAATGACAATGAATATATAAAATAGGGAGACCAAGGTCTATGAGTTTGATTCCAGCAGGTTCAGATTCAGTTTCAGAGCCGTTTTTCATTCGGAGGAAACATGCAGAGCTGCTCCAGACTGGGTTTTGCGAGGTTCCCACGTTCATGGAGAACCTGGAACTAACAGGGAGTTTTAAAACTGTGATTTGCAGGCCAGGGAAAGTCAAGGAAATATAATAAATTGAAAATGGAAAAGTCATGAAAATGTTATAGTGAATATACATTTCTCTGGTTATGCTATAAAGGAATTCAAAACCTTCTTTGTGTGCACACATATATAAAATGTATAATTGTTTACATTTCTGAATTCCAAGATTTGTACCTGACATCAGCTTTAATATATTATTATAGTATTTATTAATATTTTGTATTAGCTTTTATTTTTTTATATCTTCTATATATTCTATCTTTTATAACTTTTTTCTATTTATTTATTTATTATGAATTACTTGATTACTTATACATTTTTATTATTATTATTATTATTCATACTATTTTATATATTATTATTATTATTATTATTATTATTATATGAAAACAAAAACACTAAATGAGCATTTTTTTAAATTTACATTTTCATCTGTATTTGTCTGCATTTTTATTAGGTTTTTTATAGTTCTATTTAGCTTTCATTTCAGCTTTATTTCAATTAACAAAAACTATTTTTAATAGTTTTAGTTTCAGTTTTCACTTTTAGTTAACAATAAAAACACTGCCTGACATAAACATGTCATATGGAAATGTAATATATGACGTATATTGGCTTATATCAAGAGCAGCATTGCCATATATGTTACCTATAAGACTGTAATGTCTATATGATGATTTTTTTATAGGGTATTATGTTTGGTTTTTGGATGGATATACATTACATGAAATATATGTCCAAAAATGCAATACACATACATATTTGTATGGGCTACATAAATATGTTTTCATATATGACTATATATTTCATATATCTAAATTTAGTGTTGCTGAAAAGCGACTTATACACATATATTACATTAGCGTATGAGATGGAATCATCCCCAGAAAGCTCTATTAAATAAGTTTAAAAATACTTAAGCAATGCTGCAGTTGTCATGGAAATTCATTGGTCAAAAAGGATTGGAGTCCATTTTCCAAAAGCATATGGAGTTGTTATTCAACAAAATCACTGTACATAATAATAATGAACCAGATTGTGAAGAAAAGTGTATCTATTTCCCTATAAAAAAAATTGGTGTAGTTTTTACCCAGAAATTGCAGGTAAATTTCACAAAGAAACGGCATTAGACACATTAAATTGTGAAATTTTAGAAAGCCTGAAATAGTATTTTCATACATTATACTCCAGTGATGTTTTATTCACATGTTCAAAAAATGTGTCCCAGTCTTAAGTGTCAATTTTTCAAAATTGAGATTTATACATCATCTGAAATCTGAATACATAAGCTTTCCATTGATGTGTGGTTTGTTAGGATAGCACAATATTTGGCTGAGATACAACTATTTGAAAATCTGGAATCTGAGGGTGCAAAAAAATCTAAATATTGAGAAAATCATCTTTAAAGTTGTCCAAATGAAGTTCTTAGCAATGCATATTACTAATCAAAAATGAAGTTTTGATATATTTACGGTAGGGAAATTTACTAAATATCTTCATGGAACATGATCTTTATTTAATATCCTAATGATTTTTGTCATAAAAGAAAAATCTATAATTTTGACCCATACAATGTATTTTGGCTATTGCTACAAATATACCCCAGCGACTTAAGACTGCTTTTGTGCTCCAGGGTCACAAATA